CAAGTAAGTAAATAAATAAATAACTCAGCAAGTAAGTAAATAAATAAGCAAGTAAGTAAGTAAATAAATAAGCTTTCTTAAATCTTTGATCATTTTAAAAAAGGCAAACGACCCCAAAAACCAAAACCAAAATACCAACCTTACTACAACATCAACCATTTGGGACCTTCATTTTAGTACTGCTATGAGCTGCGTGGTTTACAAACAGGTAGAATTGGGGCGGATGTACATCACTCGCAATTGGTTTTACACTCCATGGAAGAGCTGGGGGTATTTTTTTTGGGGGGGGGTACTTACCTGCCTTGACTTGACCGCCCCTCTCTCTTTCCTTCCCCCCCTCCGCTCCAGTGCATTGTGGGACATCGAGACGGGCCAGCAAACCAGCAACTTCACGGGCCACAGCGGGGACGTCATGTCCCTCTCGCTCTCGCCGGACATGCGTTGCTTCGTCTCGGGCGCCTGCGACGCGTCGGTCAAACTGTGGGACGTGCGGGACAGCATGAGTCGGCAGACCTTCACCGGACACGAATCCGACATCAACGCGGTCTGCGTGAGTGCGGCGTTTGTAGCCGGGGGGAGGAGGGTTTGAGTAGGAGATGCGGACTCCGAAGACCATGTTGGAGACCCAGGCGGGTCTCGGAGCCCTCACTAACAAAACGTCGAGGAAGGTCCAGTTCTCCGCTCAGGGGAGGAAAAAAATCAAAATTACACACCCTATAGATTTACTCGCAGTCATTGTCCGAGGGATCTCGGAGTCTTAGTGGACAACCAGCTACCTAGGAGCGAGTAGGGTGGGGTGGCAGCCACTACTACTTGGATTAAAAGAGGGGTACAATCCAGATCAAGGGATTCATCCTGCAAAGAGGCTTACTAGCAGTGATAGTAAGAGACTTAGTGGACAACCAGCTACATAGGAGCTAGTAGGGTGTGGTGGCAGCCACTACTACTTGGATTAACAAGGGGGTTACAATCCAGATCAAGGGATGTATCCTGCAAAGAGGCTTACTAGCAGTCACTGTCAGAGACTTAGTGGACAACCAGCTACATAGGAAGTAGTAGCGTGGGGTGGCAGCCACTACTACTTGGATTAACAAGGGGGTTACAATCCAGATCAAGGGATTCATCCTGCAAAGAGGCTTAGTAGTAGTAATTGTCTCAGAGGCTTAGTGGACAACCAGCTACATAGGAGCTAGTAGCGTGTGGTGGCAGCCACTACTACTTGGATTAACAGAGGGATACAATCCAGATCAAGGGATTCATCCTGCAAAGAGGCTTACTAGTAGTAATTGTCTCAGAGGCTTAGTGGACAACCAGATAAATAGGAGCTAGTAGCATGTGGTGGCAGCCACTACTACTTGGATTAACAAGGGGGTTACAATCCAGATCAAGGGATGTATCCTGCAAAGAGGCTTACTAGCAGTCACTGTCAGAGACTTAGTGGACAACCAGCTACATAGGAGCTAGTAGCGTGTGGTGGCAGCCACTACTACTTGGATTAACAAGGGGGTTACAATCCAGATCAAGGGATTCATCCTGCAAAGAGGCTTAGTAGTAGAAATTGTCTCAGAGGCTTAGTGGACAACAAGCTACATAGGAGCTAGTAGTGTGTGGTGGCAACCACTACTACTTGGATTAACAAGGGGGTTACAATCCAGATCAAGGGATTCATCCTTCAAAGAGGCTTACTAGCAGTCATTGTCCAAGGGATCTCGGAGTCTTAGTGGACAACCAGCTACATAGGAGCTAGTAGCGTGTGGTGGCAGCCACTACTACTTGGATTAACAAGGGGGTTACAATCCAGATCAAGGGATGCATCCTGCAAAGAGGCTTACTAGCAGTCATTGTCCGAGGGATCTTGGACTCATACCCCTCCAGAAAGCCGTAGTAAGGCCACGCCTATGGGGACACCGCGGTGGCTCGGCGGCTTATAAGACGCCGAGCTTCTCGATCGGGAAGGTCAGCAGTTCGGCGGTTCGAATCCCCAGCGCCGCGTGACGGCGCGAGCTCCCGTTCACCGGTCCCCGCTCCCGCCAGCGCTCCAAAAGCGTGTAAATATGCAAGTAGGGAAATAGGCACCACCTTTTGGCAGGAAGGGAACCCTTCGGTGTTTTAATCCTCCTGGCCACCTGACCACGGAGACGTCTTTGAAGTACCCTTTGTAATGGGGATGACCGCTGCCCCTCTAGACCCAGAACCAACTAGCCTGGCTAGGCAAGTTGTGGTCTTACCTTTAAGGCTACACCTAGAGTCCCGCCTCCACTTTTTTGATCACCACACAGATCGAAAAAGATGGTTGAGACTCTAGAAAGAGGGCAGAGAAGAGCCACTGAGGTGATTTTAGGGGCACTGGAGGCTCAAACACACGACGGACGGTTTCCAGGAACTGGGCCCGGCTGGTCTAGGGAAGAGAAGAAGGACCAGGGGAGGTAGGAGAGCAGCCTTCCTTGTAGGTCATCTAGTCCAACCCCCTTCCACCCTCAAATATTGGAAGGCTGCTCTCCTGTCTCCCCTGGTCCTTTTGTTCCTTCAAATCAGATTATGAGTTGGGAGGGACCTTGGAGGTCATCTAGTCCAACCCCCTTCCGCCCTCAAATACTGGAAGGCTCCTCTCCTGCCTCCCCTGGTCCTTTTGTTCCTTAAAATCAGATTATGAGTCGGAAGGGACCTTGTAGGTCATCTAGTCCAACCCCTTTCTGCCCTCAAATATTGGAAAGCTGCCTTCCTGTCTCCCCTGGTCCTTTTGTTCCTTCAAATCAGATTATGAGTCGGAAGGGACCTCATAGGTCATCTAGTCCAACCCCCTTCGGCCCTCAAATACTGGAAGGCTCCTCTCCTGCCTCCCCCGGTCCTTTCGTTCCTTGAAATCAGATGAAAGTCCTTAAACTCCTCAGCTCTTTACCTAAACGAGTCCTGGCTCATTAACTCCCCCGTTCGATCTCAGTGCTCCGTGACGGCCATTTTGAGGGCGGAGGTGGCGGGCTGTACGATCTTCCAACTCTCCCGAAATCTCTTTAAGTAGCTGTCTCCTTCCTCCCTCCCCAGTTCTTCCCCAACGGGAACGCCTTCACCACGGGTTCCGACGACGCCACCTGCCGCCTCTTCGACCTGCGTGCCGACCAGGAGTTGATGCTCTACTCGCACGACAACATCATTTGCGGCATTACCTCGGTCGCCTTCTCCCGCAGCGGCCGCCTCCTCCTGGCCGGCTACGACGACTTCAACTGCAACATTTGGGACTCCATGAAGGGCGACCGGGCAGGTGAGTAGCCAGCCAAATGTCCAAGTTGGAGGCCCCCAAAACCCCCCAAAAATCTCTTCTCAGGAACAGCCTTTGACCGTAAAAAAATCCAGTCCAAAACAAGGTCAACATAAACCGTAACTTAAAAGTCCAAACAAACCAAGCTTGAAAGCAAACACAGTTCGGAAGATGCGAGGAGCACAAATAAGCCTCGCCGATAACCGGTAACTCACAAGTTGCTCCCGACAACTTGCTTGCGCGCCGCTTCCTTCTTTTCTACGTTCCGTTCCCAGGTTGCAGCTCGTGAAGGGAATCGGGGCCCTTTCCTCCCCCCGTAAGCCAGTCAAACCCCGTTGCTCCCTTCTCCGTTCCTCCCTGCCTGCCTTTAGGATGAAACGGGGGTGGGCTGAATTCCTTCTCCCTTGTTGTACCTCTGTTGTACCTTCTCCCTTGTTGTACCTCTGTTGTACCTTCTCCTTTGTTGTACCTCTGTTGTACCTTCTCCCTTGTTGTACCTCTGTTGTACCTTCTCCCTTGTTGTACCTCCTGCTCGGCCCGGCCGGTTTCTTTGCTCTTCCCCGGGTTTCCTCCGCACCCAACGGAGCTACACTCTCCGCTACTCGGCCTCCGGCTCCGAATCCGATTCGGAATAGGGACGTGACGGGTCCTCACCGGAATCCCAACCCCGTTCAATTCTGGAGCCGATCGGAAGTCCGATTCCTCCTCCTCCTCCTCACGCGCCGTCCGTTTTTCCTCCACCAATTCTAACCGTCCGGACCCGTCGGGGAAGGATGTCATGCCCCTGTCGGAGTCGAATTTGACGGGAATTTCCTAAATTCAGCTACCCGCTTGCGGCGCCGCCTCGTGGTCAAGCGGTGACTTTCACGGGAGTTTCCCTAAATTCAGCTACCCGCTTGCGGCACCACCTTGTGGCCAAGTACGGAATTTCAAAGGAGATTCCTAAATTCAGGAAGCCCCGCTTGCGACGCCCTCAAGAGGCCAACCTGTGTACTGCACCGGCGTCGTCCAGATCTTGCGATGCACCCAAGAGGCCAACCTGTGTACTGCGCCAGCGTCCAGACCTTGCTACGCCCTCAAGAGGCCAACCTGTGTACTGCACCAGCATCGTCCAGACCTTGCGACGGCCTCAAGAGGCCAACCTGTGTACTGCATCGGCGTCGTCCAGACCTTGCGACGCCCTCAAGAGGCCAACCTGTGTACTGCAGCAGCGTCTTCCAGACCTTGCGATGCCCTCAAGAGGCCAACCTGTGTACTGCGCCAGCGTCTTCCAGACCTTGCAATGCCCTCAAGTGGGAATCGGGGGAGGAGGCCAAGTTCCGTTGATTGTGGGAGAAACTGGGGAAGGGAGAGGTAGAACAAGGGAGAGGAAGAGCCAGGCCTACTCCCTCTTCATCCTACGGCACGCAGGGAGGAATGGAGAAGGGAGCAACGGGGGTTGGCTGGCTTATGGGGGAGGAAAGAGTCCTGATTCCCTTCATTTTAAAGACAGGGTTTTTAAAAAGGGCAGTTGCTCACCGCAAGTTGTTGGCAGCAAACCGTTAAAGTTATCTTTGTTTGTCGAGGCTTATCTGGGTTCCTGCCTTCTTCCCAATGGGTGTGTGTTTGTGTGTGTGTGTGTGTGTGTGTGTTTGCTGGCCTTTCAAGCCTGAAATTCCTTCTCCCACCCTGTCCAGTTCATCGCCGCCCACGTGGTTTGTTTGGACTTTTTAAGTTACAGTTTCTGTTGACCTTGTTGTGGACTTGAATTTCCTCCACTGTTCTTCTTCTCTGTTCTTCTCCCTTCCTCTCTCTTCCTCTCCCTCTCTACCTCTCTCTCTTTCTCCCCCTCTTTTTTTCTCTCTCCCTCTCTCTTCCTCTCTGTCTGTCTCTCTTCCTCTCTCTCCCTCTCTGTCTCTCTCTTTCTCCTTCTCTCTTTCTCTCTTCCTCTCTCCCCCCTCTCTCTTTCTCTTTCTCTCTCTCTCTCTCTCCCTCTTCCTCTCTCTTCCTGTCTCTCTCTCTCTCTTTCTCCCTCTCTCTTTCTCCCTCTCTCTCTTCCTCTCTGTTTCTCTCTCCCTCTCTGTCTCTTTTCTCCTTCTCTCTCTCTCTCTCTCTTCCTCTCTCTTCCTGTCTCTCTCTCTCTTTCTCCCTCTCTCTTTCTCCCTCTCTCTTCCTCTCTGTTTCTCTCTTCCTCTTTCTCCCTCTTCCTCTCTTCCTCTCTCTCTCTCTCTTCCTCTCCCTGTCTTTCTCTCTCTCTCTCTCTTCCTCTTGCTCTCTCCTTCTCTCTCCCTCTCCCTCTCGTGCTCTCTCTCTCTCTCTGTCTGTCTTTCTTCCTCTCTCTCCCTCTCTCTGTCTTTCTCTCTCTTTCTCCCTCTCTCTTGCTCTCTTTATCTCTCTCATTCTCTCTTTCTCCCTCTCTCTCTTCCTCTTTCTTCCTCTCTCCCTCTCTCCCTCTCTTTCTCCCTCTCTCTTTCTCCCTCTCTCTCTCTCCCTCTCTCCCTCTCTTTCTCCCTCTCTCTTTCTCCCTCTCTCTCTTCCTCTCTCTCTTCCTCTCTCTCTCTTCTCTCCCTCTCCCTCTCTCTTCCTCTCTCTCTCTGTCTGTCTCTCTTCCTCTCCCTGTCTCTCTCTCTTTCTCCCTCTCTCTTCCTCTCTCTTTCTCCTTCTCTCTCTCTCTCTTCCTCTCCCTCTCTCTTCCTCTCTCTCTCTCTCTCCCCCTCTTTCTTCCACTCTCTCTCTCTCTGCCGCTCCCCTGGGCTTCCGTCGCTAAAGGCATGTCTCTCTTCTTTCGCAGGGGTCCTCGCCGGCCACGACAACCGAGTCAGCTGCCTCGGCGTGACGGACGACGGCATGGCCGTAGCTACCGGCTCCTGGGACAGCTTCTTGAAAGTCTGGAATTGAAGGCTGCCTCGCGGAGGGGGGGAGACGTGGATGGAGAAAGGGGGGGCGCGCGGGCTGGTGGGAGACGGGCAGGACCTCCCCCCCCTCCTCCAATCCGGTCTCGGCCTGCCCCCTCCCTTCCCCGCCTCTGCTGTGGCCTTGAGCTTCCCCTCCCCTCAGCTGGCTGCCCTCCCATGGCCCGTCCTCCCCTCCTCCTCCTCCTCCTCCTCCTCCTCCTCCTCCTCCTCGTTCCTCTCTGCTCCACTTCAAATCTTCATTCGAAGCCCGATTTTCCACCCGCCCCGTTGACGGAAAAGGGGGGGAAGGCGGGGCGGGGCGGAGGACGGCGGCCATGTTGCCAACCCAGCGGGAGCAAGCGGAGGGCGGGGGGAGAGCGGGGGCCAGCCCTCCCAAATAAAAAAGTTTATTGAGGGGTTATCAACGCGGTCCTGTGGTGATTTCGTCGAGGGGAGCGGCGGGGCGGGGAGAGGGGCGAGAAGCTTTTTTCGGGGTGTTCCCCCCCCCCCCAGGATAGCCTAGCACGGGTTCTCGAACCCGCAGCCGCTTTTAAAAGTTTTGGGGACTTCCAGCAGCCCAGAATCCCCCTGGGACTCCTGCGTTCCTTTGGATAGGCATCATCTCTTCTGGCCTATTTTACTCTCTTGTCATCCCTTCCTCTGCAATCTCCTTGCGGACAGTTTACTCTCTTGTCATCCCTTCCTCTGCAATCTCATTGCGGCCCTTTGAATCCGGAAGGAAAAGGGGAGGGAGGAAAGGCTCCTGATTGCAGAGGAAGGGATGACAAGAGAGTAAAAAGGGAGGAATGGAGAACGGAATCAGGACCCTTTCCTCCCCCGTAAGCCAGCCAACCTGTTGCTCCCTTCTCCGTTCCTTCCTTTTACTCTCTTGTCCCGCCTTCCTCTGCAATCTCATTCTGGCCTATTTTACTCTCTTGTCATCCCTTCCCCTGCAATCTCGTTGTGGCCCTTTTACTCTCTTGTCATCCCTTCCTCTGCAATCTCATTGTGGCCCTTTTACTCTCTCGTCATCCCTTCCTCTGCAATCTCCTTGTGACCCTTTTACTCTCTTTGTTATCCCTTCCTCTGCAATCTCATTGTGGCCCTTTTACTCTCTTTGTTATCCCTTCCTCTGCAATCTCGTTGTGGACCGTTTACTCTCTCGTCATCCCTTCCTCTGCAATCTCCTTGTGGCCCTTTTACTCTCTTGTCATCCCTTCCTCTGCAATTTCCCCCTCCGACGAGGTTGGACGAAAAGAAAAACCAACAGTCAGGGCTAGTTGAGGAATTCTGGATGCCGAAGTCGATGATCAATTTGCGACGAGTTCGAGACCCCGGGCCTAGAGGAATGGGGAGGAGGGTGGGTGTGTGCGCTTAGGGTGGAGGGGTGTGTGTTTGGATCCTCTCCTACTGGGCTAGGGAAGGTCATCGGTCCGTACCCCAGAGCGGGGGGGTTGTGCTCAAGCTTCAAAACGGGAGCGCTCCAATTCGTCCCAATTACAGGACGACTTTTTGGGGGGAGCTCCGCCTTAAAACTAGATCTGGCCCTAACCTCAACGGCGGCCAGGAAAATCACCGCAGTTCTTACCGTTACTGTGTTTCCCTGAAAATTGGTTTTTTCGGGGAGCAAAAGATCCCCTTTAGGTCTTATTTTTTGGGGTAGGGGTGTGGTTAGGGTTAGGCGAACTGTCTTTATTTTTGCCGGCTGGCCCGGTTGCTCCCAACTTTTCCGCCTGCATGGAGAAACGACCAGAAACTCCCAAAAAATGTGTCTGTTTGTAAGAAACTGTAGCTATTAATACGCCGCTTTCTCCATCTCCACGTCTCTTGCATCGCCTGCACCCGCACCGGAAAAAAAAAGGATCTGTGCGGCGCGAGTTGTGATCGACCCGCTTTCCTCCACGACTTATCTCCGCCTGCCGCCACCACGCAAGGCGGTGAGGCGGCTGCGCGGCCCATTGAGATCGCTTCTATTTCCCCCTTCCACAGCCTCCGCGCCCATTTTATCTACGCTGCGTCAACGGGACGGTGGGCTGCGGCTGCTCCTGGACCCCACTGGACCCCACCGTCCATTCACAGCGTCTTGTATAGACCGTGCCTATCTTCCCCCTCCCCTGGGCTTAATTTTTTAGGGTAGGGCTTATAGTAAGGGCCCCCCCCGGAGGGAGGGGGAAAAACAAAATCAGGCTAGGGCTTATTTTCGGGGAAGTCGCACCGTTCCGCAAATCTGGTTTTCTTTCCCCCGTTTTGATTACAAAAGGGAAATTGGGTGACCTCGGGAAACTCAGCAGCCGTCATAAAGGGGAGTCGGTGGCCCAATGTCGGAAGGCAAATCACCGGACAGCGGGGAGGCTTAACCGTCCGTGTGAAAAAAAAATAAATGGCGAAACTGTCCGTGTGGAAAAAAAAAAAAATGGCGATCGCTCACTTCTTCTCGGTGCCGCTGCCGATAAATCCACGGTTACCTTTATTTGGGGGGAGGATGGAAAAAAATAAAAGAGACCAGAAAATGCCACAACATCTAAGCTTGTTTTTATTTTCTTGCAGACACGCAGAGCAGGGAGAGAGGGAGGGAAACCCATTTACAAAAGAAAAAAAAACCACGCAAGTGGGGAGATATGTACAGGAGAGGGAGGGGGCTCGGCGTCTCACCCCCTCTGGATAGTCTCGCTTCCTAGCAAAAGCCAAACAAAGTCTCTATGCAGGTTAAAAACGCAAAGCCGTCTCGCGTGCAACCAGTAGGCGCAATTTCCCCCCCCCCCCCCCCCCCAACCCCCCCCCCCCCCCCCCCGTTTTAGGGCGCAGAAGCAGCCCGGGTCCGGCCGGCCCCCTCCTCGGCAGGCAGGCGGGGTGCCCCCCCCCACGCACGCACCCAGAAGGAAGAGGAGCCAGAGCAAGTTGTTCTCTCCCTCCCCCACCCCTCCCGCCGTCTGCCCCTCGCAGTCCAATTCAGTTGATCCGGCTGCGGCTTTCGACAAAAGAGCTAGCTCTCAGCTATTCAGTCGGTCCGGCCAGCTTGGGTGGAGATGGGGGGTGGGGGTGGCGCCCTCTCCCCCTCAAGTCTTTCAGGCAGGTGGTCCATGGGGAAACATTCGGCACCCGAAATGATGGGGGGGGGAGGAAGGAAGGAAGGTGTGGCCCCCTTCTCCCGGGCCCTGCCAGTTGCGCCAGGAGACGGTGAAGTCTGTAAACATCTTTCCACTCTCAGTAGGAGCTCGAAGACCCTCGGGGGGCCTCGGATCACAGTTTCTTGTAATACTCGGGAAGGAACGGACCACGATCAATGTCCGGGCCTGGCTTGCCTCTCGGGGCGACAGCGGCTGCAGCGGGGAGGTAGATGGTGGCCGGAAGCTGGCGGCCGAGCCGGGCCAGACCCTCCTCGCGTCAGGGGGGTGGTGGTGCCGGGGAGGGTGAAAAGGCCGGGCTCCCGTTGCTGCCGCTGTATAAATGCAGGGCAGGCGTCCAGTCGAGGCCTCCTTCCCCCACCTCCGGGCGGGCGGGGGGGGGGCTTATCGCGTCCGCTCTTCCTCGCCAAGTGGGTCTTCCTCGGGCGGAAAACCCCTCCCCAGAAGTCCGTAGGTAGGAGTTTTAAGGCATCAGGAAAACACACACACAAAAGTTGTCGCCAAGTCGGGGGGAAAACGAGCAAAAAAACAAGTGGCGGAGAGCCTGTCGCTTCTCCAAGAGGCTGCGGCAGCGAGGTGTTCCCCCTCCTCCGAGGAAACCCCCAAGGTGAGCCACCCCCCTACCCCCACCCCCCAACAAAGGGACAAGCCGAAAGCTTCAACGAGGGCTGCATAGCTAGCGCCGTTAAATCGCCTTCTCGGCTCCCTTAAAACTCAGACATGCGACGAGAGCTATATTATTTGTTCTGGCGTTACACCAAGGTGAAAATTAAAAAAAACAGCAACACCCCCCCCCTCCATACACACACTCTCACACACACGCACACACACAACCCTCCCAATGGTTGCGAAAAGGGGACCGAGACACGTATACATTCATAGTCACATTTCAAAGAAAAAACAAAATGGTCGCCCCCCCCCCGCCGCCACCCCAAATTTTTAACAAAAGAGAAAAAAGGGCGGGGGGAGAAGAGAGAGGAGAGAGAAATTGCTACAGGAAACTCTTCTTACTTAGGCGCGTTATTGTCCGAAAGGAACTTGGCAGCAGTAGTAGTAGTAGTACTAATACTCAAGACTGGCCCCGACGTCACAAGCTGCTGCTGTTGCTGCTGGCGGGCTGTGGAGCATGGGATTTGGAAGTCCACACCGGTGGGGAAGGAGAGGAGGCGGGGGGCAGAAAGAATGGGAACCTCTCTCGTTCCCGCGGCCTCTCTCTTCCTCCCGCCTTCCCGTCCTTGCGACTCGACGCCAGCTTTTTGCACGTGCTCCGACCCTTCTCCGTTAAAACTTTCCCCTCCTTATTGCTAGATATATGGATTATATATATATCTCTTTTTTATTTTTTGTTTCATATTCATTTAAAAATTAAAAAAAAAAAGAAAAAAGCTATCGTATAATACTGAAAACAAACTCCTCGCTCTTCCCCTCCTCCCCGTTATTATTTTTTTCCTCGAAAACCAGTAAGGCAGAAATTGCACGCGCAAGTTTCCCCCTCCCCACACACACACCCCGATTTTTCGTTTTGCGGTTGTTTTGTTGTTCGGTTTTTGCGGGAGGCCAAACCCCGGATTTGCGATTCAAAGACCGAGGCTGGGAAAAGAGAAAGGAGACACGCGCACGCGCACAAAAAGGGGGCAGCCCTCCCACCCAATAACCACCTTTCAGGGCTAAGTGGGGATGGGGTTGGGGGGGAGGGGTGTCCCCTCTTCCTTTCTCCTCCCGCCCCCCACGGAAAACAATCCGCCGATTTTTGTAAACTTTTCCCGTACCTTGATTTAAACACACAAGAAAATTAAAAAAAAAGCAACGACAACGACAACACACACGCACGCACACCACAAAAGGTCTTAGGATTATTACAATTCAGGTTTTCAACCTTGCCAAGTTTGGTGCAAAAAAATAAAATTAAAATAAAGGGAGAAATGTCCCCCCCGCACACCAAAAAAAAACCCCCCTCCAATTTGCAAGCTGGAAATTTGGAGGGTGGGTTTATTTTTATTTTTTTCCGACGTCGGAGGAGGCGCGATTTTTTTTTCACATACATTCTGGCCGCAACGCAGCCCGCGGACGCCCACGGCAAAGCGGGACGCCACGCCGGGGCATCCTGAGGGGGGGGGTAGACCGAGGACAGTGACCCCCCCACCCCCCTACAAGGGTCTCAATACTGCAAAAAGAGCCACGGGTGGCGAAGGGAGGGCACTCCCCACCCCCGGCGAGACTCTCATACCGATGGGATGCTTCCCTTCCGGCTTGGGGTTGCGTCGGTCCGGCGGGACGGGAACCTTCCG